ATCAACATATAAATCAAGTACAAAAATCAAACGAATATTCATATTTGACCTGATTGTTTATAGGTCATAATGTGTGATCAAAACCGAAAGTTTCTGTGATGAATGCCCTTGTACTGTTCACCATGTAAGAATTTATTCACTATGTAAGAATTCGTTCACCATGTAAGAACTTGTTCGTTATGCTTCAGAAGACTGGAGACTGACGAGAATTAGGCCTGAGATGGATTAATGATTGTACATTGAGCATTGACCCCCCATACTGAATTTTATTGTTGTTAACAACCATTTGATCAATAAATATGAGAGATGCCCTCTCAAAAAAAAAAAAGTAAAATGCTTAACCAGGTAGCTTGAAAGGTAGTATAACATGATGGAAAAGGGCATGGGCGCTAGAACCAAAATGCTAGATTTTTTTACTCAGTCTCATCTACTTGCTAGTGGGGTGGCCTTCAGTTGGCTTGGGTGTAAAATGGGGATAATAGTCACACTTACTTCATAGAACTGCTGTGAGAATTAAATAAGTTAAGATCTTTAAATCCCTGAGAGCAGCACTGGGCCCAGAGAAAACACTCTGACAGTGTCAGCTCCTGTCATTAATCTTCAGCAGCACGTGACCTGTAGGGCACTTATATTAGGATGCTCATGGGGATGGAGCCATTTGTTTTCTAGTGTCTTTGTCAACAGGACTTAAAACTCAGAGCTGGGCCATGAAAACTAGGTTAACCTCTTTCTCACTTTTCAAAACTTTATTAACTGCTTTTTTAATTATCTGGGGCATGAAATTCTCTTCATTCTCATTCAGTAGTACTATCTAGGAGCAACGGAAGATGCAGCCAGAAAGAGCCTAAGTGAGGTCACTCACCCAATGAGTGTGCATATGCCTGCAATGAAGATTTGTGAGAAGCTCAAGAAGATGGACAGTCAGATCTGTGAGCTGAGATATGGTATAATGGAGTCAGGTGTATTTTTCCAGTATGTCCAAGGTATTGCCAATTCTCTAAACCTAGGATCATGTTTCTAACAAGTCAGCATTAGATGGAAAGGAACTCTCACTCACCAGTAGGTTGCTGGACTTCTGAATGGTAGTGCCACCTGAGCTCTATTTGGGGCAAAAGAAATGCATACTGGCACAGTCAACATTAGATAAAACTGCTTTCCCAAATAGCAAAGTTCAAACTCTTAAATTACCAAGGCAATGTTGACTATGTATGCAAAAGAAAAATGCGAAATTTAAAAGCAGCTACTCATGGCGATTTAGTTCTTGATAACCTATTAAGATAAAAGATACAACTATTCAAAGGTGATGTAAGGACTTTGAAATTTTAAATGGGACCACATCTTTCTTCCTGTATTTGCCTATCATTCTGCCAGCTTTAAATATTAGGAAATAGGTTATTCATATCAAATCAGGTTTTTTACCTGAGGAAATAGCCTCATGAAGGGTACCAAAAATAAACAGTGAGGAAAGGAAGGAGATGTCCTATTTAAAACATCATCCTTGGCCTTTTAAATTTCACAAACACAAATCTGTTCTTACATGGTGCTGAGGATTTGTATCTGGGCCAGTCTTTTGGGTAGCCGGAATAGGTATGATAAACGGCTGGGGAATTCTTACCTTAGCCTATCCTTAACATCTGAAATTCTACAGCAGAGGCATATTTTTTTTGTTTAAATCATTGTTGTATGTTACATAAGCAGTGTGTATTGTAAACTACCTAAGTAATTAGCACCCAACTCTGAATAATTTTAGTTTTATTTTCCAAATTGCTGTGTAAATATGCCTATCACCATAGCTACATAGCTGACTTTAAATAGATTTAAAGTTGGAGGATACCAAGGACAACCTATTTCTCAATTTGCCAGGGGCAGGCCCTAACTTCCAAGGTAGTGATTATGGGGCAGGCCTCCTTTTTTTTTGGCTTCCAAATAATGAAGTAGAGGCAGGAATCCACTGAGTCCATATAAACAATATTCACAAAAGGGACAAACCTGTGCTGATTCTTTTATTTAACAAGTTTATTTTTTGTATGACCTCTATGTACAAGGGATCTTACTGCACTCTTCAGATAATAGAAAACTCAACAGGTATTGAGAAGAAACTAACACTTCTAATGTTTTGGCAATGCTGGCCACTAGAGGCCCTTGGGGAGCCATGAACTAGTGTTACTTTTGCTATCAGCCTTTCCTTGTAGTTTTAGGGTGTCACAGAGGTTTTCCCCTTTAAAATTAATGCCATATGCCAAGTTCTCTACAAAAACTCAACAGGATTACTGACATTTGCAAGAAATTATTTTTCTCCTTCAATCATTTATCTTGAATAGATCACTAGTTCTCAATTCTTCTTCCCAGCTTATTGTTGGCAGCAATGTTGAAATTGAACATGGACCTGTGAGCTGTGGGATATTAATAATTTGGGCTATAAAGGCATCTACTTTTAAAGGTATTCTCTCAAGTCAGCCATGAAATTAAGGTAAGTGTAGAGTTGGATTATGTTTTCAATTAGGAAGGTGTCATTTGTTTTTTGACATGAAAGAATGTTTTTACTAGTTCTGTTTTTTAAAAGGGTCGGGGTCACTATAAAAATTTAAGGGTTCTCTGGAGCACAGAGTATAGTTGACCCTCCAAATAGAAAGGCTTTAAAATACAACTTTCCTGTATTTTTCAACAGATTTATTGAGATAGAATAGACATAAAACATTGTGTAAACTTAACATGTACATGCTGATTTGATATGTGTGTAATGAAAAAGTATTACCACTATAGTGTTAGCTAGTACCTCCGTCATGTCACATAATTACCATTTCTTTTTGTGATGAGAACATTTAAGATCTACTCTCTTGGCAACTTTCAAATATATAATAATTAACCATAATCGTGATGCTATATATTAGATCCCCAAAACCAATTCATCTTAAAAACTAGAACTTTGTATCCTTTTGACAACATCTCCCATTTCCCCAATACCCCTAGGCCCTGGTAATCAGCATTCTACTGTTTCTATGAGTTGGGTTTTTTTTAGATTCCACATATAAGTGATGTCATACAGTATTTGTCTTTCTCTGGCTGACTTATTTTACTTAGCATAACATCCTCAAGGTCCTGCTCTGTTGTTCCAGGGGGCAGGATTTCCTTCTTTATATATATATATATATATCACATATTTTGAATATCTCTATATCTATATATTTATCATATCTTCTTTATCCCTTCTTCTGTTGACAGACGCTTAGGTTATTTCCATATCTTGGCTATTGTGAATAAGGCTGCAGTGAACATGGAAGGGCAGGTATCTTTTCCATATCCTGTTTTCATTTCCAGGATGTGGGTTTGCTGGGTCATATGGTAGGTCTAATTTTAACTTTTAAAGCAACTTCCATACTGTCTTCCACAGTGGCTGTAATATTGTATATTACCACCAACAGTGCATAACTTTTTCTCCATATCATCTCTAACATTGTTACCTCTTGTGTTTTTGACAGTAAGCCATTCTAAGTGGTGTGAGGTAACATCTCACTGTGGTTTTCATTTGCATTTCCTGATGATTAGTGATGTGGAGCACCTTTTCATTTCATTTGTATGTCTTATTTGGAAAAATGTCTGTTTAGTTCCTTTGCCCATTTTTAGTCAGATTGGTTGGGCTTTTTTGCTATTGAGTTGTATGAGTTCTTTATATTTTGGATATAAGCTGTCTTCATTTTGTTGATCACTTCTTCTGCTGTATAGAAGCTTTTTAGTTTGATGCTGTCCCACTTAATAATTTTTGCTTTTGTTGATTGTGCTTTTTGGATGTACATCTTAAGCTTACACAATATTTTATGTCTGTTCTGTCTCAATAAGTCTGGTAAAAAAAATAAAGGAAAGTTAGATTTCATAGCCTTTTTTATTTGGAGGGTCAACTCTGTGCTCCAGAGAACCCTTAAAATTTTTAAAAATTTTGGTATCATTCATGTACAATTACATGAGCAACATTATGATTACTAGACTCCCCCCATTATCAAGTCCCCACCACACACCCATTACAGTTGCTGTCCATCAGCATAGTAAGATGCTACAGAATCACTGGTTGTCTTCTCTTTGTTGCACTGCCCTCCCCATGCCCCACCACCCCATAAGTGCTAATTGTAATGCACCTTTTTTCCCCTTATCCGTCCCTTCCCATGCATCTCCCAACCCCTTTCCCTTTGGTAACTGTTAGTCCATTCTTGGGTTCTGTGAGTCTGCTGCTGTTTTGTGTCTTCAGTTTTCTTTTTGTTCTTACACTCCACAGATGAGTGAAATCATTTGATACCTGTCTTTCTCTGCCTGGCTTATTTCACTGAGCATAATACCCTCTAGCTCCATCCATGTTGTTGCAAATGATAGGATTTGTTTTCTTCTTATGGCTGAATAATTCCATTGTGTATATGTACCACATCTTCTTTATCCATTCATCTACTGATGGACACTTACATGGCTTTCATTTCTTGGCTATTGTAAATAGTGCTGTGATAAACATAGGGTTGCATATGTCTTTTTCAAACTGGGCTGCTGCATTCTTAGGGTAAATTCCTAGGAGTGGAATTCCTGGGTCAAATGGTATTTCTATTTGGAGTTTTTTGAGGAATCTCCATACTGCTTTTCACAATGGTTGAACTAATTTACATTCCCAACAGCAGTGTAGGAGGGGTCCCCTTTCTCCACATCCTCACCAACATTTGTTGTTCTTTGTCTTTTGGATGATGGCCATTCTAATTGGTGATATTTCATTGTGATTTTAATTTGCATTTCCCTGATGATTAATGATGTGGAGCATCTTTTCATGTGCCTGTTGGCCATCTGAATTTCTTCTTTGGAGAAGCGTCTGTTCAGATCCTGCCCATTTTTTATTGGATTATTTGCTTTTTGTTTGTTGAGGTGCATGAGCTCTTTATATATTTTGGATGTCAACCCTTTATCGGATCTGTCATTTATGAATATATTCTCCATACTGTAGGATGCTTTTTTGTTCTATTGGCGGTGTCCTTTGCTGTACAGAAGCTTTTCAGCTTGATATAGTACCACTTGTTCATTTCTGCTTTTGTTTCCCTTGCCCAGGGAGTTATGTTCATGAAGAAGTTGCTCATGTTTATGTCAAAGAGATTTTTGCCTATATTTTTTTCTAAGAGTTTTATGGTTTCATGATTTACATTCAGGTCTTTGATCCATTTAGAATTTGCTTTTGTGTATGGGGTTAGGCAATGATCCAGTTTCATTCTCTTACATGTAGCTGTCCAGTTTTGCCAACACCGTCTGTTGAAAAGACTGTCATTTCCCCATTGTATGTCCATGGCTCCTTTACCATATATTAATTGACCATATATGTATGAGTTAAAATCTGGACTCTCTATTCTGTTCCACTGTTCTGTGGCTCTGTTCTTGTGCCAGTACCAAATTGTCTTGATTACTGCAGCTTTGTAGTAGAGCTTGAATTTAGGAAATGAGTACCCCCCCACCCTGTTTATTGTTCCTTCTCAGGATTGCTTTGGCTATTTGGGGTCTTTTGTGGTTCCATATGAATTTTAGAACTATTTGTTACAGTTCATTGAAGAATGCTGTTGGTACTTTGATAGGGTTTGCTTTGAATCTTAGATTGCTTTACACAGAATGGCCATTTTGACAATATTAATTCTTCCTACCCAAGAGCATGGGATGAATTTCCATTTATTAGTGTTCTCTTTAATTTCTCTTAAGAGTGTCTTGTTGTTTTCAGGGTATAGGTCTTTCACTTCCTTGGTTAGGTTTATTCTTAGGTATTTTACTCTTTTTGATGCAATTGTGAATGGAACTGTTTTCCTGATTTCTCTTCTGCTAGTTCATCATTAGTGTATAGGGATGCAACAGATTTCTGCATATTAATTTTGTATCCTGCAACTTTGCTGAATTCAGATATTAGTTCAAGTAGTTTTGGAGTGGATTCTTTAGGTTT